ATAAATGTAATGATTTATACTACAGAACTATATAACTTCAATAGGATTCAGCCTAAGTTAAAAAAAGCCATTTCATTTTCATGTACAACACTGACATTTTATTAACAAAATAAATGTAGTCATAACAAATATATACTTTTCCTTTAGTTAAATTATACCTCTGTATCTCAGCCCTAAATACCTAATTATTTAATTGAAACAGTCTTACTTTATGATGGCCTTCCGTAGAGCTCTATTTTAATACAGGAACTCGTCTGTAAAAAAAAAATATACAAATGCATAAATATTACTAATATAACTATTCTAAATATAAATTTCAATTTCCATTTTCTTTCGTACAATGTGCTTTTTGCAAGTTAACATACTTATAACCTAATTTAACATATTTTAGAATTTGAGGTTAACCAACAGTGAATATTATTTTCCCATATCCATGTTCAATAGTATTTTCAATACAAATTTTAATTTCAGATTTAACTTTCCTAGATTATAATGGATAATAATATTTTGTACTTACAATGTCTACGAGATTTGCCTGCCATGAGATACAGAATTATGAATGAAATCAAACTTAGTGAGGGAAATGAAAAAAAGAAACAATGTTACCACTACAAACAATTAAAATAAATCAACTTAGCTTCTTACATACTATAACTAAATTTACTTGATTTTTTTTTTTAACAAACAATATAAGAATCAGTATACATAGGCTCCTTTAAAAACCATTTTCCCCACTTATCACATTTTCAATAATTTCGTCAACAGAGAGTCTATTAGTATATGGCCAACTCCGCCAACAACATTTTCAGAACCAAATCAGGTTCGTCGACAGCCTCTTCGTCTTCATCACATTGCGACTCACTCACGTTTTCACTTTCATTTTCACTCACAAACATTTGTTCATTGTCATCTTCATTTGTTTCACAATCAACTTCAATCAGAAAATAACTCTCTTCATAATTTAAACGATTTAATGTATTTCACTGGAGCGTAAACAACCGCGAGCCGTCATTCCGTAAACAATCGCAGCAGAAAACTGAGAGCAAGAGGTGGCCAAGAAATCAATATTTACTTGCACTAAAAACAGGCCTACCAACCCGGAAAGTGAAATACTATTATATTGATTGATATAAAAACAGGTCGTGGTACTAATAGTGTCACGGTGCGTGGCGTCTCGCTGGAGCATCATGCTCACTGAGGGCTTTCTCCCACTACGCCTCGCGGCACGGACAGGCACGTTCAAATACTGTAGTTGTGAACTAGCATCAGCTGACAAATAGTTTGCTTTATGTTTACGTTTTTGGTTTTTTTTTCGGGTTGTCGTGGAGACGAAGTTTTGGTAGAATTGGATTAACGTTTTAAATGGAGAAAGAAGGTTCGTTCTTTTGCTGTTGAGATTTTCGATAAGTCAGTCGTAGAAAGCTTTGAAGAGTTTTATTTCCAATTTATTCGTTTACCCATTTATGTTCCCACAAGTGTGCTTCAAATATAGTTCTCCAACTACCACTGGCTCTAGTGTATGTTTGTGTTCCTGTAAGTTTGTGATTGATTGTGAAGATGGATGTGCCGGTTGGGTTTCAGTCAAAATTGAAAGCCGAAAGTGCTAAGGACCCAGACACGTGAAGTAATTACGAATGTCATAAGTTTTATGGCATTGGAGGCTAGAGAGGTTTACGATTGATCCCAAAAAGGTTGGAGACAGGGTGTCGGCTGCCTGTGGAGTTTCAAAACGGACCTTAACACGACTAAGTGCGGATAAAGAAAATTGAAAGAAACTAACTCCAGTTTTAAAACCTCCAATAAAATAAGAAAACTAAGAAGAAGAATTACTGTCCTTGACGATTTTGATAATGGTGTTGTACGTAGAATTGTAAACACATTCTATTTGACTGAAAAATGCCTTCCAACTCAAAAGAGAATAAAAATAAAATTATAGAACGATCTAGAATTTGTAGGGTCTACCGCCAGTGTAAGGAGAATATTGAAAAATATTGGATACAGATGGAAGAAAACTAAAATCAACAAACATTTTCTTATGAAGTCGCAAGATGTGGCCTATAACGATTTGTTTACCTAAAAAATATTCGAGAGTTTCGAGCAGAAAACCGTCCGATTGTGTTTACAGACGAGTCTTACATCGATTCAGCACATGTGTCAGGAAAGGGATGGAGCGACAACACACACGTGTCAGCAGGTGTAGCAGCGCCTTTATCCAAAGGTGAAATACTAATCTTTTTACACGCTGGTGGGAAAATGGGGTTTATTACCAACTGTTTGACTATGTGGAAAGCGAGTAAAAACACGGGGGACTATCATGATAATGTAAACATTGCTACATATGTTAAGTGGTTGAATTCATATGTCAAGTCTATTACTCGGGCACTAACGTATCAAACATTGGAGATCTGAGGTGGTGGATGTTCAATAAGACAGATTATCAAGGAGAAAACTTGCTTTGATATCAAACCATAGAGTGGCGCTGTGCTGATCAGTCCTTCCTAAATCTGCCAGCACCGTTAAATTTTGGAAATTAGAAGAGGATAGCAACTAATATGATCCGGCTATTAGTACAGTGCAATTAGCTTAAAAAAAGAGCAAACCGGGACATCAAAAAAAAAGTTTCAAACTAGTGCCAAATTGTTGAATACACTTCCCTCAATATGTAAAAAAAAGTTACACTGATTTGAGTGTCGGGTTTGGGGGGGAGGGGGTGAAAATGGGGTGAAAATAGGACTTTTTTTTTACTTTTTCGCAAATACCTCAAAAACGGTGCGTTTTTCTTAAAATATAATGAATTACAAAAATAATCTACATTAAATTTCGAACAAAATGATACCATACAATACCTATCTACTATGAACGGTTCAGGTAATATTGAGGGGTAAATGTGATTTTTTTCTTAAAATTCTAAAAAAGTTGTTTTACTTTCTCCCCCTATACCATAGTATATGGAGAAAGTATTGTTTTCGTCAAAATTTTTCAGTTTGAGTTTTGAGTGGATATATTCGTTTTGGGTCCCCCTGGACCCAAAAAAGTGGTTTTCGAAGTGATGTCTGTGTGTGTGTCTGTGTGTCTGGATGTGTACAGAGCTAGGGACTACACCTGTGGTCCGATTTTGATGAAATTTGGTATGTAGGTTCTAATCCATGGTATCTCTAGGCGTTTTTTTCATTTTTTGAAATTTTGATTTTTTATGGGGTTTTTCCCATAAAAACCCATAAAAAACCTGAAAAATCGGATTTTCTCGAAAATGGCCCGAACGATTTTGATAAAACTTTAGTATGTTGTAGCCCTTTAAATTCTGAACAAAATGGTACAAATCCCATTTCTGTAAAAATAACGGTTCAAAAGTTATGGTAAATCAAGTTATTTTCCCATTAAAACCCAATAAAGTAACGAAAAATAAGATTTTAGAAAAAAATCCGGTTTTATTTTAACATAGTATGTTATGGTCCTTAAAGTTTTGATATTTTTTTATTTTTAAAAAAATTTAATTTTTAATGGGAATTTTTCCATAAAACCCCATAAAATAACAGAAAAATAGGATTTTCCCAAAAACAACCCGAACGATTTTGAAAAAAAATTGTATGTAGTCCTTTAAATTCTGAACAAAATCGTACAAATTACATTTCCGTATATTTACTTTCACCGCTTACACATGATAAAGGTTGTTGACAAACTTATGGGAGAAAGTATGTGTCAGAATGCTGATACCGTTTATTTTAAATGGAGGAAACCCATGGACACCTATAAAAAAAGTTTCTAATGAGTGCCAAATTGTTCAATAAACCTCCCTTGATATGTATAAAAAGGTTACACGGATTTGAGTGTCGGATTTGGGAAGGAGGGTTAAAAAAAAGGGATGGGACTTTTTTTACTTTTTTGCAAATACCTCAAAAACGGTGAGTTTTTCCCTAAATATAACAAATTACAAATATAATCTACATTAAATTTCGAACAAAATGATACCATACAATACCTATCTACTATGAACGGTTCAGGTAATATTGAGTTGTAAATGTGATTTTTTTCTTAAAATTCTAAAAAAAGTTGTTTTTTAAATGGAGGAAACCCATGGACACCCATAAAAAAAGTTTCTAATGAGTGCCAAATTGTTCAATTAACCTCCCTTAATATGTATAAAAAAGTTACACGGATTTTAGTGTCGGATTTGGGAAGGAGGGTTAAAAGAAAAGGGGGGGGGGAATGGGACTTTTTTTGCTATTTTCCAAATATCTCGAAAACGGTGCGTTTTTCTTAAAATATAATGAATTACAAAAATAATCTATATTAAATTTCAAACAAGATGATGCCATTCAATACCTATCTACTATGAACGGTTCAGGTAATATTGAAGGGTAAATGTGATTTTTTTCTTAAAATTCTAAAAAGGTTGTTTTTTAGATCGTAAAGGGATCGTAAAGACATAAAGGGACTCAATCGTGACAATTTCATGATGTTTCTCTAAAAAAGAATAAATTATTTGGGCCACGTCATTGATGAAAAAGGTATTCATAAATGTATGGACAAAGCGGCTGCCATAACTAAGGCAAGAAACCCTGAGAATGTAAGCGAACTCCGGACATTTAGATTTGGTAACTTATTACAACCGATTAATAAAATACCTAGCTACTCTACTAAAACTATTACATAAACAAAGGCAAAAAATACGTTTGGAATGAATAATGTGAACATAGTTTTGAACAAATCAAGAAAGTTCATTTTACGATTTAAATCCGCGACCCTGTCATGAACCCTCAATTGTATCCGCAAGATCGGTACAGTCATCACAGTTTTATGGTTAAGTTTTTTCCTAACGGAATTTACCTATAAGTTGCTGATGATTGAGTTTTATAGCTAAATTAATCGATAACATATTTGTAACTTTATTATTAATACAAAAAAAACTTGTAAATTTGTTAGAGTTTAATCAAAACGATTCATCAGACAAAAGCAACCACTATGACGCATCATATTAATCTTAATAGCTGTGTTGAAAGTGTAATTCACGTATCATATAGCCAAATGCATGACAAAAACTTGTCCAAGAGATACGTGTAAAGTTTAGTTTTAAAATATATGTTTTGTTTAGATTACTTTAATTGGCAGTGATTTTAGGGTAATATATAACTGCTCAAATAAAATAGTAAAATAGTGTAAGAATGCCCACTTTTATATGTTTGTTGTCATATGCATTCATAACATCAACGATTGTATTTTTGTCAGGTAAGTAACAATTTTGTGTTACGTATTTTAGTACAAAAACAACTGACAGTCTCGCAATAAAACAAGAATACTCCTATAAACCATGCGTGGACCATGAGACAAATCGGGTGTTTTAGTTGTTATTTAATCATATAAAATACCAAACATAACACCGGATTCCGTTTAAATGTTTATCTTGATCCTTTTCAATAAAAAAAAGCCATCTTTTATGTTGTTAAATATTGGAAATTGTCCAAAAATAATATTCATTCAACAATTTTCCCCTATTAAATACCTTTTTAGACAGGCACTTAATTATTTAAATATGGTTTACAATATTTTAATGAAATTTATGAACTCAATTAAAGAGTAAATTAGCAATACTAGAATTTCTGCTTATTTAACAATGTTATCATCAATCTTCATGATGATGTGTGTGTAACATTTTACAATTACTCAAAAAATATGTTTGTAGTCTATGCAGATAAGCAATCAGAGCTTGAAAATTAAACTAAAGCTCAGAATCATAAGACAACTTATTACGGAACTACTTATCAATCTATTGTTATGTTGTATACAGGAGGGCAACCAATAAACGGTACTGAGGAAGCCGGAATAGAGCAACAAACTCTAGTGAATACAACACTGGACAATACAATTAATGAAGAAGTGAATGCACCAGAGGCGGCTAAGGTAACTGAAGAGGTGGCGACCGAGGACGAAGCTACCGAGGTCGGTGTGATAGAAACCGAGGCAACACAAGCTGAGGTTACAGAGGATACGTCTGAGGCGTTACCGACACCGTTGTCCGTATCACAAGCTGTCAAGGACTGGAGTAGTCGTCTGCTGGCGAGCAAGTACATGGGCTCTCTAGTCGGTGCCTACGTGCTCTTGTGCTTATACCTGGCCATCAAACAGGGACCAATCATAGTTCATTAATACTATCTACTGGTTACTTTATAAACCACATTGGCTTTCATCCAATGTTTGTAAATGTTACCGGGCTGTAAGATTTTCACGAATTGAGTTTTACAGTCACACATTTAAGATCCGTGGTCTTCGGGCGACATTCGTCTCAAGAACATTCTTTTATGTACTTCATTCGCCAAATCGGACGTAGAATCTACCGCGGACCCGTTTTACATTACCTCAGACTTTGCCCAGAGGGTTACAGCATAATATCTTTCATAATAATTTGGTAACTTGTGGGGTTTGAACCCAGGACCATCGGGTCCGTAGTCCCTCGCTCAAGCACTAGACATTTTCGCTTCCCATCGTCAAGTACACAGAAGATAATTTAGGTCAGAATAAACGTCTCATCGATTTTTTTCACGGTCCCCTCCCATAGACCACGAAGACAGTTTATAAAAGAATGTTCGATAAGAATTTCCATCCATTCATGTGATTCTTACAAAAGAGTTCTAAACAAAAAATAATACCACCTGATATGGTTCCTATATTTTGCTTTATAGAAACTGAGATACAGTTCTGCCTTAGTTGAAGAGAAGGGGTGAAATCAGATTATTTATCTTCTAGAGCAATATACATCTTATTTTTTGTATGTTCTTGTTATTTCTATTTAAAAAAAAATTATGTAGGAACTGATTATCAAAGGTATTTACATGTTGGAGCAAAGGATTTACTTATTAAAATGACCTTGCTCTTCGCTTTTAATTCTTTAACTGTAAAAGTTGAATGGATGTATACAAAATCTGTTAAACCTCTTTTGTTAAATGTAAACACTGACAAATATGGATACAATATCTCACAAAAAAACTTCTAAATTATTTGTTGGGATCCTTGAAGTAGAAACGTTCATATAGTTATATGTTTAATGAATCGCCCCAAAGATTTTACGATCACAATGCAGAATTAAAATGAACAACGATAAATACATAAATTAAAATGTAATTCAGACTTCATAGTTGACCCTTTTTAATTATGGTTCTGCGAAAACAGAAAACGTGCACATATTTATAGGTTTTCAATGGCTTATATTGTAATTACTGTAAAAATATCATGCAAAATTATTCTTACAAGTTCAAGTTACAATCTTAAAGCAATTGAATACCAGCTAAATGTTTTGAACTATTCACAGAATGATAGTTATGCAGTATTTTTTTGCTTCACAAATCATTATTATATAGTGCAAGAGTTATATAAGTAATACCCTTGGGTAAAACTTTCTTGGACTAGATGTATACAGGGTTAAGAGGGCATAAGCTATTTTGCATAACTACTGCATATTTCTATTATGATATTCATGTAAATTAAATTGCCACAGTTGTATCTAAGAGGCTTTATGCAAATCACTTTTCCTCTTTGCATATTAAAATCATTTCCTTCAGCCGCATATTAAAAGTTGTCCTCAAGGCGTGTTTTAAGGCACATCTTGTTAAAATTTGTGTAAATTCCTTTTTTATATATTTTCATGTTTTTTTTTATATATTAGCAGAAATGTTATCATTAATTAATCTACTTAAATATGTCGTGAAAGTGTATCAAAGATTTAATAAATTAAGAATTATTACATTTCTATATGTTTCATATACCATTGACCTGTCTCTTGAAACTATGTTTATATTTTAATGTGATTTTACTGTATCACATAGCTTATTCAATTAAAGTGAACTGTTACCAAATATCTCTATACGTGACAATATTTAGTTATATACTTTGTCATTTATGCACCCAGAATCTATCTTATGACTGTGATTATAGGCTGTTGGACTTTTTGTCAATCAACTGTTGATTGATACATGACTGGATTCAGAGCATAATTTCACTATTTTATAATAAGATACCGCGAGGAACTTTTAACAAGTCACATTGGCACATTTACCATCGATTGAGGTTCTTAAACATTTATTACAAAATTAGTAAGCACGATCGCGTGAAGAGCCAAATAAAACCAAACTGACAAATACAAAACCGAATGAACGAAATATCCCGACCATCTTATCAGATTTCAACCGATGTAATGATTCTCTGAATTAAGTAATCTATTAATTCATACTTTATTGACGAGGAAAGGTATGTAGTTAATATCATAATCTCTCAGACTAACGCTAAGGAGCTTTGAAGATTCACATTATTCCCTCCACAGTATTCTTTTAGTGTTAACATAATATTTAAGACGTGACTTATTGATTGTTGCCCGACAAAGTCAGGGTCGGAATTTTACCTCCGCGGATTTGGGAGTCTAATGAAAATAGACAGAGCGTGATAAATTTAATAAGTAATAAATCTCGGAAGTTTACCCCCTGTCCATATAACTAGCGTTTGGGCAACTGTAGCCCGGACTTTTACTCCCTGTTTAGATATAGAAATTAGTGAGATTAATTCATTTTAGCGAATTTCCCTATAGGGAAGTAGCTATTACCGTAGGTGGCACGGCAAGACCTAGACCCGGGACCGATTTACTTTTTCATTTTGATGTTCCCAGAGGCCAAAAACACCATTCGTTCAAATTTTTATATATGTATATATATATATATATATATATATATATATAGACTTATATATATACGTCCGTGAACGCGATAACTTGAGTAATTTTTGTCCGATTTTGATGAAACTTGGTTTAAAGGTGTAAAGCGGGATAAACTTGAATGAGTTCGCGAACCAGCACGATCGGATCATGGGAACGGGGCTTTACGGGGGGTTTTATGGGGTAAAAATTGGTTTTTCTCACTTTTGACCCTCAGAACACAAAATTTCCCGATTTATCTTTAGACCTTTTTAAAGAGCTTAAAAAAACAAATAATTTAGTATATAAAAGTATTTTTGTTCGATTATTAGTAACGGAGAAAATTAAAAAAATTGTTAATTTAAAATTCCCATGTTATTCTTATGGAGAATATTGTCAAATGTTGTAGTTTGCTTGTTTATGGATATATTTTGATCAAACTTGGCAAATTTATTTATTTTCTACTAAGCTATCAATATTTTACTCAAAAACACACTTTATTAGTTCCCTTGTAGCAGCAAACCTAGGTACTCGTTAAACATAATGTTATTAAAATATATTTAACTGAAAATCAATTCAGACAAATGGAAATTCGCTTAGTCGGCAGGTTTGCTGCGGCGGGGGTATTATTATTTCAGTTTTGATTGAATAGTATAACTTAGTAAACATGTTTCACTGTTTGATTTTAATATTCGAGTTTCGGGATTCGACTTTTTGGGCCAACTGTTAATATGTATGTAAAAAAAACTGGGTAGTCCATATGAATGTAATTGTTTCGAACATTTGTTTTGTGGCCCAAAGAATCAAATCCCGGAACTCGAATCTCAAAATTAAAATGCAAAACCTGTTTCACTAGTTGAGATTACAAATAAATGAAGATAGGCTACTTAAAAATAAAATGTTTACTATTAAATTATAAAGAAGAATAAATAAGAATGGAAGAAGAATATTAATTATCCTTACTAATTTATATATCTTGCCAGGGGGTAAAAATCCGGGCAATAAAATACGGGGGTAAAAATACGGGTGGTAAAACTGCAGGTGTGAAAATCCGGGCCGTACATTTTGAGCTGACCTCATGAAGGGAGTAAAAGTCCGGGAGTTGAATTCCCGGCTCGTACACTCTAGGTGTTATAACTCTATGCGTTATGGTTAAATTCACAACCGTAAAAATATACGTTTAATTCCTGATGTTGTGCAACTCAAAAGTTCGCGCCGGAACTTTACCCCCTGGTTTGTGACGTGAGTTTTGCTCAGGGGATAACATTCCGCTACCCCACTTAGTCCACCTAGACTGACATTTTGACCAGAACATTCTAAAGTCTGCCTCCCTTTGATTCTTATCGATGACTCAGTGATCAACAAACGTTGCATAATGTAGAGATAAGAACATGACAGAGGAGTTTGTTTGACAACGCAAATCACAAGCGATGAAACATTTGTTAGAGCTATTGATTTTTGTCGTCGTTGTATCACAATATTCAACTCTTGGTGAGCCATTTCTGTATCTTTTTAATTATAATTGTCTCTAATTATAGAACATTATAATGCTGACACGTTGATTTGAAGACATATTTGCGTCTTTAAAACTTGCTAAATCATTTAATGTCTTTTACAATTTTAATAAATTTTTGCTAAAAGATTAAGTACAATATATACCGATGTTTATTACAAACTAAAATGGTCAAATTACCTTAAATTAATTTATCTTGGAGATATTATTTGTTAGTTTTGGCCATCATTTATTGTCAGATCAATTTCATTCTATCCTTGAGCTAACACTTACACAATATGGCTTTGGGTGTTTAATAACGTTCACAAGTCTTACCTGAAATGATATTGCATATTCTGGGTTATTATAGTGTAAAAAGATGCATATTTTCAAGACCTGTTAAGATTCTATTAGTATGCATTAATTTTAAGTCTCTATTCCCCATGATGCCAAATTTAAAATTAATCAACATTCAAAAGTAAGGCGGCAATTGTCCGTCTGGGGAATAGAACATAATTCCTTAACTAAAAAGATACCGTCCAAGATATGGTGTAGGAATTATTTACTAAAGGTGAGTAATACAAATAAATTTGAAATGTGTTGAATTGAAACAAACATATGCTTACAGGCAAAACATGCAGAAACATTCAATCTTACGTGCATGTGAATACATCCAAGTAATCTGGGAGTATTTCGCATTTGGGTAACTATATTTAACAATTTTCAGGAAGGAGAATAGTAGAGAGAGAAGATGTAAATACCCCTGCGACTCTGGGTGCGGATGGGGTCGAGATTGAAAAAGGAGGAGGATTCCCTCCGTACAACTACACGGAGCCTAACGAATCAGAAGACGATGGACAGGTAGACTTCGACCTTGACGCGACTACGACAACCACGACCGTCGCGACGACCACCACGATCACCACGACCATCACCCTAGAGCCTGAGGCACTAGAGGATATCGACCACTCGCCAGGTGATAGGAGAACACGATTCTGGAGAACACTTAAAGCGTTGTTCGGTCCCATTGCAGGGCTTACGGCTTTATTTTTTATTGGAGTTTGGTTAGGAGCTACCGTTATATAACTTTCAGAACAACCTTTTTACAGTAAGAAACAAACAAAAACTAATAATTTGAATGATTGTATTAGCTGTTCTAAACTATTGAAAATAAGAGGGCTTGAAACTTAAGATTTTCGTAATGAAATTTGTAACACGAAATATTTTGCAGTTGTGGACCATTTCTCGGAAACTGACCAAAAGAGCAAAACTGTACCAAACTCAAAATTGGGTGGGAGATATAAACACCAAGAAAGTGTGTCTACTTTTAAACACTTGAAAAAAAGAATAAACGCAGAAATGTTCAAGATGTACAGATACATGCCGCTTGTCCAAAGTTTCACGTGGTTAAGTGGCGTGTTTGCTGTGTTGACTGTATTGTTTAAAATACACGAAGTATATCTGAGTTGATATGGGGTCATTTTTTACCATCCTCATAACTATGAATAATAGTTATTTTCTAGTTTGAGTCTTTCTCTTGGGTACGAGCATCACATAAACATTCTTAAATAGGTTATTTATCGCGAGGTAAAAAATATAAAGGTGATTGAGTCTCGATTTCTTAGTCGGCAGTGTAGTTAAATATCCACAGTTATGTTGTCCACTAGAATTACACTTAAGTTGTTCCTAACTTCATTCCTACATTTTACACGAATTTCTATCTTAATTCTTGGATGATTGGGTCACACTAAAACTATCCCTTTCACAAGCTGCAAGCTAGCTCATGTCATCTCTGAGAATTCGTTAACTCTCAAAAGACATAGCCATTTTAATTTGTTGACTATTTATATTTATTATAGAAAAGGAGATTCACCATATTTTAATATGACACATTAAATACCTCTTCTCGATTCTGATTTTCTTCCTGTTTCTTCCAGAATTGCCTTTTATGTTCGACACTGGAAACATGACCAGATCTGAGCGATGGCTGTTAAGAGGCACCACATTCTTGTCTTGTTCCCTTTTTCTTTTATTCATATTCTTCTCGATATTTTACGCCATATCACTTGTTGAATGATAGTAAAAAAATTCAATATCAAACATTTTGTAAGATTCATAAATAAAGATAAAATTATAAATAAATACTAGTTTTATTAAGCTCAGAATCCAAGAAAGTAGATTATAAGCTTAAAACCAGCTGATTAAAGTAATTAATCAATTCAACACCATAACTTAAACTCATAATAGTTTTTAAAGCATGATTTATGAAATGGTTACAAGTACGATTTATATTTATAGGTGACCGAGAACAAGTAAAGAAACTTGTTAAGTCAATGGTTGTACTAGTCTAGCTTCGAATTTCTGTATTGTATTTTTTAGGTTCTGTGGTTTATTAAGTTTTATCTTGAACATTGTGTGGTTTTTAAATGTTGTTAACTAAGATGGATCTAATTAAGCTTCGTCTTACCACAAAATTGTCTGTCATATAAACTTATCTAAACTGATATAAAACTTTGATTCTCAAGTTCGTATTTTTAATTTATATTGTTTAGTTAGTGCAAAATATGTTAATGTGGTGTCGTAATTGCTGACATGAATATAAAAAAAGTTCAAAAAACTCCCATAACTTGAGTATTCATTGGCATTCAAAGGCATTGTCATTTTATAAAGAACCTCAACAGGTAATATTTTCTATATTAACGACCATGATAACAAAATATATAAAGCACTTAACAACAGATTATTTAGATCTCGTGTAATCATAATGAATATACAAATTTCTATTAAACTAGTCATAAGATTGTTTAGGATTTTTTATTGATAAGCTTAGTATTTGATATGGTGGTGATAAAAATCCTACTCTCACATCAATATAAGATCTACAGGTGATGTAGTTGAGTTATCCAAATTTAATTTGTAACTGATTAGACATTTAACAAATTTTTGTTGAAACCAATGTAATTTAGAAATGTAATTGTATTAAAATCCTACCAGAATCTTTAAAAGTAAACGTTTCTTAGGCCGAAAAATGTTTAGTATTCTGACTAGACTTAATTCATAAATGGTCTTGTGACTGGTTGATTTAGCGACTCAGAAGCTGTTAGTGTAATTGTTCCCCAGTGTAATAACTGTTATTGCCGTTATTACTCATTACAGTAATTAACTAACCTAGTTTGCGTCAAGCAACTAATTCCGCTTGTCATTTCCCATAGTATTACACCTTAGGACATAACTAATTATAACTGTGTTCAAATTTAGAAAAATATTATTAGATTAGGAAATTCTATTTTCGTTTTGTACTCTCGGCTAATTTTATTTCATTGATGAGACGTGTTTTAAGTCGATATAAATTTAATTTTCAGTTATTTCCCAACAATAGAAAAATATTTCCTGCTGGAGATTTTCTGGGAACAATGTTTGGTCGATATAAATTTGTATAATTTTGAAAAATGTGTTTGTGATACATTAGGTTGGTATAGTAAATTATTTTATTTCACTTTTTTTTTTTTTATTTCTAAGTATTATTCCATCAGCAATTTAAATAGTAAACATGTTGCTATTTAAGACGATTCGATTGTAATTATTCAATTTATCTTTTTTTTACAAATCACTGCACGTTTGAAAACACAGGAGCTGATTCACTGTCATCATGTAATTAGCAGGAAAACATCTAAGTTTACACAAAAACTATCTATTACGATTAATTTTAAATATAATGTGAACTAGGTGTTTCTCTGCCCATTTAAAATAATACTGTAGCGCTTTAAAATATCCATCAAATCATCGAAATACATTAACGAAGTTACCGATAGATATGCATTTCAAAGACCGTGTATCGATATTTTTTCATGTAAAGGGTTTATTAGGCATTCTGATTGGAGCATTAAAACTATAAACGCTTTAAAGGGTACATGGTAAAAGCCTTATTTGTGGCAAATATTAACAAGAATGTTTACATATTTATTAATCATACTATAATTTGGCGTCTCAAATTTATTTAAAGTTTACTTTTTGTCCATGTTTATGTTGGAAAATACATTTGTCTAGATGCAAGAAAAATATCCACAAAAGTGGACTAGGTTGTTTTTTTCCATCATTGACCCCAGCATCTGGTTTCACCCCTTTTATTGGGGCAGACTCAACTGGTCCCGTAAGCCAGGTACCCTACTTCTACTGGTCCCAGTCTCAAGTAAGGTTTCTTAATCCGCACTTCCACTGGTCCCGTTGGCAGCCCCTTTGTAATTTGTCTAACAGGATTACGGCTAGTGTTTGTATAGCTATCAATGCCCATTCATCAGTAGGATGAAGGGGCTTGAGGTGTTTCGTTGTCTCTAAAAACACGTGTTTGGAGAGTGTTTGATAGATTTAGATAGTGTTACCAGTAACATTAAAAAGTACAGCATTGATGTTTATATACTTTCAAGTGTTTAAATGGCGATTCTTCCCGTAGCATTTTAGCATTGCAGATTCATTAATCCATTCCCAAAGTCATCACTGCTCACCTTTACTACTTCCTTAACCACTTCATACGTCACGGACCCCAAGCTAGTGTCATCATTTGATTATATTTATGATTCATACCGTTTTTGTTCTAATATCTGTGAAATAATGCTATCAGCTATTTCTTTATCTACTGCATTCAAAAGTCAACAGCTGATCATATGTCTTTGTTTATGTGTCAAATACTGCTTCCATAAGGATTACATTGAAACTTTGAGACCCAGTGGGGCGGATTCCTGAGAGACTTTTTTAACGCCATATAGATGTTGGCACTCACCGATATGGTCTTTATCACCATGCAAAATTTGAAAACGATTGATTCAGCCGTCTAGGAGGAGTTTTGCGTATTACGAAATGCATAAGAGTCGACGTATAAGAGCTTCGCACGCTCCGCTCAACAAAGACATGTGTTTAAAACAATCTATATAAATAAAACTAGAGTTTTGTATGTACATTGCTCAGAATCATAAACTTTTAGGTTATTTTTACGTTTTATACATTAAAGAAGCCGAAACAAGTCTCATCTCAATTTCTGTCTGCCTGTCTTCCGTCTGTCACAGCCCAAGAGCCATTTACGCGGCCTTCCCCTGAAAAACGAGAGTACCTATCAAGATCCGAATCATTTTAATGTATTCACTGGATTGGCGAGAGTGTCTTTAGCTATTAAAATATGGCCTCACTACTTTTTAAATAAACTTACGGACGTTTAAAACCCCAATTTTGTGCGATTTTTGTCAAGTTTTCTCCCAATCTTTATCACATAATCATCTATAAAATAGCGAACAGCTGTTCGGATCAAGATTATTTTTCTCTAGATGTCACTGATAAGTTTACATTTAATGTTATTTACAAATACCGCAATCATTTTCGATCACGTTTCAAAAGCAAATCCAAACCAAGTTGGATTAAAACAGTTTTTCCTTACATAACGGATTTGATTAATCGCAAGTTCAATGATTTGTGGGGTAACCGTAAATGAAAATAGAGATTCTTTGTGTATAAAAGTTTTCTTGAGTTTTGATAACCGGGAAAAAGACCTTGAATCAGTGTTTTATATGGCTGGGAAACTTACATTTTTTTACATAAGCGTTACCAATAGCTTACATAAAAGGTTACAACTCATTGACGGCACTTCAATGGTGGTTGTGTAAAGTGTTAAGAGACAACTGCAGTGGGTGATTGTAACAGAGGTTTACGGATTATGCTCAAATCGCTTTTCCAATGTGTCTTCTCAACGCTATGTGCTTCTCGCTGGACCATACAGCCAATAGACCTATCTCTTGGGTTCGTAGGCCTAAACAATTATTCATAAGTTGGTAGCGCATATTATATTACTCAGTGTTCCGTACGGATAGGACAAGAACACCTTTGATAGTGAAATTTCCAACCTGAATGTTTAATAGCGAGGTTGAGGTATAGTATTTTAACTAAATATAGTTTGGTTAGTTAGGTAAGGTTAACCTAACCTAACTAACCAAACGATATATCGAATGAAACAATCGAATAATCAATATTACTCATTTGGTTGTTTGTGCCAACAGATATGGAAGTGTACCCCTTGTAGTTCTATTACGCATTTTTTTTACTTGAAACTGTTGGATACTGTATTTGTTTATATATAATAGTTTGGCCAGCATATTTGAAAATATGCAAACCAACTGTTGTTCTTTATATAGGAAGGTTTCAACTGACCACTAAGATCCCCGTGCGTAGAACAGGCACACAGCCAAAAGATGAATATTTACGATTAAATAATTACTAAGTACATTTAAAAACATATTTCTCAAAAATTGACATAAACATTGATAAAAAACCAGATCAAATACGATGATATATGAAATTAAATTGCGTAAAAGATATATTTACAATTGATAACAAAACAAAAAACTCATAAAATATACGAAAAATACGACAAACTGAATGGTTTAAAAGATTTTACAAACAAACTACCATATTACAAATGACTAAAA